ATTATTATCATTGTTATTTATATTGTCAAAATTTTTCAATGGAACCACCCCTCGTGGACAACTATAGAACATTATCGTAATTACAAAAAAAATATTCTTTCATTTCTTATTTCTTATTTCTAATAGGCAATTCTAGATTATTATTATCATTGTTATTTATATTGTCAAAATTTTTCAATGGAACCACCCCTCGTGGACAACTATAGAACATTATCGTAGATACAAAAAAAATATTCTTTCATTTCTTATTTCTTATTTCTAATAGGCAATTCTAGATTATTATTATCATTGTTATTTATAGTGTCAAAATTTTTCAACGGAACCACCCCTCGTGGACAACCGCGTATTCGATCGATCGCGTTTCCTGGAGAGCTGCGTGGCTAACGGGTGAAAAAAAGTTGAAGAAGGTTGGAACGTGATAAAAGCCGGTTTAATAAAGCGCGCCGCCTCTACGCGTTCACATATCGAGAATTCTAGGAAAGCTTGGCGTTCCTTTCGATCTCGGGCCGCATTCCCTTTGTCCACTATCCGTCTTTTCATTCCTTTACCACCCCTTACATCTTAATCTTAATAGCGTTCTCTCGCTGAATACCTCGCCATTCTCCCTCCATTCTTTTTTCATCTATCTTGACAAGCCATCGTTTGGTTTTATTTTTCGGCCATCGCACGCTTTCTTTATTTTTTTTCATCGTTAGAGATCATGTTTAAACCCAAGAAACGAAAATTATGCGTTGATTCTCTCGCTAAAAATATCAAACGATATTATTCATTACTCCTGTATTTATTATAAATCTAGCAAACAATTCGAATCAAATCATTTTCATCGACTTTATATGATTTCCATTGAATAATTAACAGCGAAAAATGAAAGAAACACTTTGCGACAATTAATTTTCCAGTATCTCAAACAAAATCTGAAATGCATTAAAAGTAAGTTTTCTTCTTTTTATTAGAAAATAATCTAATACAATTCCGATCTCTTCCTCGCTCACAGTTCTGTCGTAGGTTGTGAAACCTAGGGGTGTGGAATCGGATCGCGATCGATGCCAGTTGAGAAGGAGAGGAGAAGACGCGACCAAGTGCATCAGAGGAGAGGAAAGGAAAGGAAAGGAAGGAAAAGTAAGATGGGCGAGTGAGCGTACGGATGGAGAGAAGAAAAGAAGGATGGGAGGGCAAGTTGGAGAAGAGATGACGAGGAGAATAGGTAGGGATGAATGGGGCGCGTGGGTAGGGACAGGGTTAACGCGGAAGCGAAGAGAAGCGTTAAAGGGGCGGGAGCGAGGGGTGAAAGTGGGGGCTTCCGGAGGCGCTGTGGACCATGCGCTTTCGTGGCCCAGCGAAGGGACTTTGGATCTTCGAGGATCGAGAAGAGAGGTGACGGGGCAAAGAAGTGGCAGAGGCGCGAACGTGGAGCTGGCCGCGAACGCGAAAGCGAATGCGGACGGCGACGGTGGGCAGAGAGTGCGGCCGAACCCCGAGTCGGAAAAATCGGGGTGAGATGCACCCTCGCCACCATCCTCGCTCTCAATCGGCCGCGGCGCTTCCACCTGGGAGCACGGCTTCTCTTCCTCGTTAACCGGCTCTTCGTCCCAACCGGCCGTTCGCCACCGATCTCCATCAAATCTTCGCCTTTCCTTTGCTGATTCGATCGGCTTTGTCGTATCTCGAAACATCATAGGTAAGAAATTCTGATTTCTTTGATAAATTAGTCTTTGCTTCAACATCTTAATTTCTTCTGGAATGTTGTTTGCTTTTTTCTCTTTTTTTTTTATATCTCTGTTACATTTCGTGACGAAAAACAACTTTGAAGTAGTTGTCTTTGAAGTAATCGTGAATAATTTTTTGATCGAAAGAAGTAGGAAGAAAGGAAGGAAGGAAGGAAGAAGAGAGAGAGAGAGAGAGAGAAAAATGAAAAGTGGCATGATTTAACGATAATAACGTGGCCTGTATCACTAGTTCTATTTAAAAATCGGTGAAAGAGGTCTCGTTTATTTTGAAATATGTTACTTACTCGTTAAATTTCCGTTTGTCTCGTGTTGGATTACGTTATATCGCGTAGCTCTCTAATCGCGGGGGACACCTCGAGTTTAAAGCTCCGTCTCGATTCACAGTCGAGGCTGTACCCTCATTTCCGCGTGTCGTTCGCAGCTCCGCCTTTGGGTTCTATTCACGCGAAACGCACGGCACGAAAAACCTATTCTTAACTTTGACATTCGCTTCGCGACCGATAAATTTGAACAGTGAAAAACCATCGTTGTTTATCTTATCTTATTTGACTAATAACTTATTATTCTAATACGCGTTAAGAATGACTCGACGCGAAGGTATCGGGTATTTCGATAACAGGCCGAAAGGAAAAGAGTTGCCGGTATCAAGCTCGCGAGGTTAATAGAGCGATAGGTAACAAGGTTATAAAGCAATCTGCATAACCCTGGTTGGTACTTTGCTCGGCTACAGGGGTTGTCCCGTAGCACTGCGAGCGGTCTCGTAATTACCAGGTATAATACGATTACCCGATCGCCAGACCCGCCGTAACTGAGAAGGCAGTTCCTTCGAACCCGCTCTTTACTCTTCCTTTCCTTTTCCTATATCTCTTTTATCTCTTTCTCTTTTTATATATCCCTTTCCAATTCTCCCCTCGGCGTTTCCTCTTCTATTCTTTTTCTAGTTTTCCTTATTTTTCTTCTTTTCCATTTTCAAATCTTCTCTCTTCCTGGAATCTATCCCAAATCAAAAAAAAAAAAAAGAAAGATTGGTCAATCCACCAATTCTCCATGAAACGGGTGTGCGAAGTAGAGCATATCCCAGATTCTCGTAAATTCATTTAAACGACGTCACAACTGTAATTTTATTTCCGTTTGCATTCAATCGCAACGCGTTTCCACTTCCATCCCTTTCCCCCTCCATTCCTCCTTTTTATTGCCTCTATTGGCGAATCAGGATCGCAATTTCTCGTATGCCGTATCGCGTTCTGTTCTGATCGCTATTAAGCAGGGATCTTCGATGTATATCTCCGCTATATTTTAGTTGGCGTAGCTACACGTAGCAATTTGTACGATACTCGATTCGATTTCATTTCGACTCGTGTCCCTTTCTTTCTCGTGTCCTCCTTTGCACGGATCTTTTTTTGTTTTGTCCGTTTCCCTTTCGTTCGTGAAAACATACATATACATTTATTATAGAAAGTGTGTGCAACGATGGTCGAAACTCGCGATAAATATATGTATATATATATAAGTGCGACAATGACACGCTCAACGGAACGTCTCGACACTTAGTTTAAGCTCGTTATTCCGGCTTAGCAATCGCCCTTCTCCTCGCCACTTCGTCTCGTCCATCTTTCCGCCACGCATAAACATCCCCGATAACATTGGGTGCCCTCGTTCACTTTGAACGGCATAACAGTGTAAACGTTGAACTATTTCAATGCGTGTGAGAGAGTGAAAAAAGACAGAGAGAGAGAGGGAGAGCAATAAGAGTTTATAAAACCAGGAGAAAACGGTTTCAATGGATAAGAAAAAGTGAAGGAAAAAAAAAAAAAGAAAAAATGGAGGAAAAAGTGGAGGAAAGGTGAGTCAGAAAAAAAAGGAAAGAAAAAAGAACATAGAGAGAGGATCGATCTGTGCCAAATTTCGAACGATTGGTGGTCGCCGTCGGATACGAGCCAGAGGCGAGAAATCGATCTGTCGTCCAACTTGTTGAGGCGCGAAGCAACAGTTTGCCTTTTAAACGCCTCTCCACGATTCCTTGCATCCTCCTCCTCCTCCTTCTCTTTCTCTTCCTCTTTTGATTTTTATTTTCGATCTATTCTCTCGTATTAACTCTCTCGTATTAATTCGGTAAAAATACTTGATTTACGTTTTCGTGAAAAAAAGCCGATTACGTTTTAGATAGTTGATTAATCGTTTCCTTTCGCGTTTGTTGCTACTTGCCGCTCTTGGTTAACTATGAAGTTGCATTATTAAGTTGTCTCGAAGATACGATCGAGCTATTCATTCGGCGGAACTGTGCTATTCCGGTCTGGCAGTAGCGGTACTAATTGCTTCTCAAAGTGGAAACTAACTTTGGGAGAAGCGAGAGAGTTGCCGCGGCGTGGCAGGGGAGTGGGTGGCGCGGGCAAAGGTTGCCGGAAATCCGATCTGACGAACACCTTTTCAAACGATTCATCCGTTGAACCGGTTACACCCTATGTATCCTCTCCCTGGATACTTATCTTGGATATTCCTCCGGATTCTTTTTCCCGCGACAAGTAAAAATTCGAAAATCAATTAAGAATCCATTAACGAAACTCCTCTTCGTTTATTTCTTTTTTTTTTCCATCCCTTGGAAATAAATAAATTGAATCGCTTCTAGATTTTTTTTTACGTACAAGATTCTCGCAAAAGAATAGAATAATTTAATTAAAAAAAAAAAAGAGAAAGAGGAATGTTCGAGCTAATGTGATTCGGGCTTATTGGGATAGAAAATATGGAGAATAATGGGGTCGGTAATCGAGTCGGTAGGGTGCATTAACTCTCGAGTAAAAATCGAGAATTGATACCGAGAGGTGTCAAGAGGCGAATCATATAGAGTGTAAGATAAATCGAGCCGGTTGACGGTCGACACGATTTTTCTATTAGCTCGCCTTTCTCGATATACCGCGTGTACACTCTATACGCGCTACGTACGTAGAATCTCGTACGGTGGCGCGTACCGGTGGCGAAAAGAGAAAATAGACATAAGAATAGGACGGAGCGTGGTTGTATTGTGGGGCAGGTCTGCTGTCGATCAAATTCGAAAGCGGGAAATGTATGGAAAAAAAAAAAAGGAAAAAAAGGATGGTCGAGTGGGAACAGGTGGAAAGTGTGTGATGAAGGAGGCGAGTGCGCGTTCATCGGAATGAGGTCGGACGAGTTTCCACTCGGTCACTTCATCAACGCGGAGCCAACTAAACTGTCAATCGCAAAACCACTACCGCGTCAAACCCTTTCGACGACATCTAGATTCTCGTCGATAAACGCCAAGGCACTTGAGCCATCGATCCCTCCTGCCTCGATTCGCGCTCCCGCGCTTCACACGACTTCTCGAAAATTCGATTCGCGCCACGACCGATTAACTCCTCGCCTTTCCATCATGCACACGCGCATGCGTGGAACGTGATAAACCGAGAGAAACGCACGTTTCGTCGCTACGTATAATATTTTCCTTCATTTCACGCGTGATTCCAGACCCAAAGAATTCTTGACAAGTTCTGTCTAAAAAAAAAAAAAAGGAAAAAAAGAAAGAAAG